TACAAAGACACACGATCCGACACGCTTTAACAACGCACTCGAGAACAAATGGAAAACAAGACAGGTTGTATGTATACGAATATATTTTTTAAAGAAAAGAAAAGCAAACGAAAAAGTTGAAGCGTCTGACAAAAAGGCCCAAACGCAGGTCTCACGAGAGGGCATTCGTCCTGCCTAAAGTCACATAAACCGCACTGAGGCATGTCTGTCGAACAACAAGCCGGCGATGACCGCTTCCAGCTCTCGTTTCCCCCCGAGGCTTTTAATGACTTTTTAATGAGGCTCCGAATAATTACAGTGTTCAGTCTTGCAGTAGTTTACGGCGATTTCGTTTGTGTGTTTAGGTTAAGGAGGAGCATATCGACAAGACAATGGTCATTAAAATGCATTACCAGTGAATAAGATCTACAGACAGACAAACCACAAAAGAATAATTAATACTTTATTAGCTAGTCGGCAGAAACACAGCGGCTATTCTTCTCACCAGGACAATAGTAACCGAGAAGGGAATACAATGTATGTGTACAGAAAATTCAGATCAAACAGGAACGCACTGTCCTGATTCTCAATACGTGCAACAACGATTGCTTTGTCTAGGTTCAGTAAAATTGTCTTTATCTTTTAAAAAATTCAAATTTATTCTTAGCTAAACCGTTCCCCCACTAATAATGAATACACGGAAACAGCTAAATCGGGAGACACACACACACCTGATCTATGTATACAACTATCACTATAGTAAACAGTTCAAGAGCCAAAAACACACAAACCATTAGAACAATGCAAAATACCAAAGCACAATTCCATCAGTGAGCCAAAAAAGTCTCTAGTAGAGAATCTTCGGGAGAACAGAATATAAATATATGGACACAACAAATTCAAGGACGAATTAGTTCACATAACGATATATTATAATAGCACACAAACTATCTAAATATATGAAATGATGGGAGAGAAAGGGACTCGAAGCAACAGACAGTTCGAACAATTCATTTGAATAATGTTTATTGCTTTAGAGATGTTCTCAATTTGTATAAGACTCCTGCTGTTATCATCGTGTGTGCACCCAGATTGTGTGTGAGTGTGGCATGTGTGTGTGTGTGTGTGTGTGTGTGTGTGCGTGCGTGTGTGTGTGTGAGAGTGTGTGTGTGTGTGTGTGTGTGTGCGTGTGTGTGTTTGCGTGCGTGCATGTGTGCGCGCGTGCGTGCGTATGTGTGTCTGTTTGTGTGTATATATGCGGGGTGGGGCATGACAGATAAAAATTGTGCGAAAGACACAGAGAGAGAGGGGGGGGGGAGATTTGGCCCCCCACAAACGACAAGCTAACTAGGTTGCAGGGCCGAGAGATCAATGCTAAGCCTTGGCAATTAGAGTCAACAGGGCGTCATGGGGCGGAAACGGGATGGGTAAACAACCCACAGCTGTTGTAATACACATACCACCCGGTACACGGGCTGGGGTGGGGGGAGGTTTTGTGTGTGTGTGTGTGTGTG